TCTCGAATATATATACAGGCTATTATTCGTGTAACATTCGGAATACATAGTCGGACTTATCGGACATAAAATTTGGATACTCGACAGATATCCTACGCGGTGCGCAAGTGGTATAATAACGGTAATTACGGCTTAATCGTTAATAAGAAATATACAGTCGGCACTCGGCCGAGGAGAAGTCCGCTTCGCGACGAACGACTCTTCGGTGTCTCGATTCTAACGCCTCCGTCTTCTCCTCCTGTCTTTTCTGAGCGTTTATTTTCGCATTTGTCTTTTATTCCTCGCTTTCGTGCAGTCTCGGCGCGTGGGGATCTCGAATGTCGGTGGAAAGAACTTACTTGGAATACATCGCATCTTTAAAAAGGAAGGAAACAATCATCAGACCATGATCACGATCCTTATCGTCCCGGACAACGCGGAACGTCCGCGAAAGTGTCCTCGCACGAGAGATGCTTTCCGGGAGCATTCGAAATATATCATTCGAATGCTTCTCTTGGACAGCTTTCGCGGCGCTGCGTTGCTCGGGTTGTTGCTTATCACCTCCCGGAGCGCTCTCCTCGCGGTGATAAGGGTGAAGTTCTCGCAGTGCCAAAAACATTCACATCGAATGATTCTTTGATACCATCGCACACGAAATATTTCGATTGACCTTGCATTTTCGTTCGAAGTCCGGCCTTGATGTAAATTAGCATAGTCTCCATCCTGCCATTCTCTCGGCATGGTATCTGGAATTCTAGCCTCCACATTGTAGCGCTGTGCAGGTATTTGCAGTCTTATAAACGTTGTCGGCCATTTCTCTCTCTCTCTCTCTCTCTCGTTTCTCCCATATTCTCTGTCTCAGTCGGAAATGTTGCGACTCCAAAGGGATCCGCAAAATCCACTCGTCTTCAGCGGCTCGCGCAGATCCCACGTGGATTCGCGTAATTCGTGATTCGACAGCTCCTCTCGACGTCCTCACAACTCTCGTTAACCACGTCGAGGCCGGACGCTCTCACACCCTGAGCACGTCTTCCCTCCTCCCGTGTCCCGACCTCGAGAGACGCGAAGGAATTCGCCTGATTAGCCGTGGAAGCCGCGAAAGCGTCACATGAAGACGTTCTCCAATCCGGGTAGATTCTTCCTAGTCGGCGTCGATGTAGCGCAACTGACCCCTTCGTCCTCGAACGTGACCATTTTCTCGCGACTCCTGGTAGCAGTGTTGCCGCCGGCGTCCAACAACCTCGTCTGGCCGGCGGTCGCGGCGACTCCGGCGGCAACCGGCGGCGTGATCGCGGAGGAGGGCCTCAGGACCGACGCTGGCGGCGGCGGCGGCACTGCCATGTCGGTGACAGCGGCCGCCGCGAGGTTGAACTCGCTGACGCTACGTGGCACGAAGTACTCGAAGTGCAGCGAGCTCTCCTGCTGGCGGTGCTGATGATGGTGCGGCTGCTGCTGATGATGATACTGCGTCGGCGACAGGCAGCTCCTCCTCAACGGCTGGCCCCGTTGGAACTGCTGAACGTTGGCGGAGGAGTTGCTCCTGCCGTCCAACGGCGTCTTCTTGCGCGGCAGCGAGTGGTGGCCGCCCGGAGACAGCTTCATGGCAGTGTTCGACGGGTGGGCCAGGAGCTTGCCGTCGCCGGGGCTCCTGGCCTGATGTTGTCAGGATCCGGCCGGCACCATCGACATGGCGATCGCCTCCTCCTCCTGCTCGGACAGTCGTGAGTCGCTGGTGCCGCCTCCGTCGTCGAGGTCGGCCTTGAGCCCGGGTGTGGCGCCTGCTGCAAGGAAAAGAGGGAGCACGCGTGACTCGGCAATCGCTGATATCGAGATATCGTATATCAAGCTCTACAGGACCAGTCGCGTCGTTAGATGGACCGTATCGTCCCGCGGACTACACGTTCTCGCGTTTATGGTACTGGCTGGTTAGTGATGAACGTAGCATTCTTATCGGGTGGTGTCGAGAAATACGTGAGAAGCTCGTGTGATCGATCGAAAGTTAACTATTAATCGAGCCTGACTAATGCGCAGTAGGATCGTTGCTTTTCCCGAACGCGACCGACGGGATCCGCCTTCTTAGTTCCCTTCTATCTCGCTCTCCTGCTCTGAATCGCGGAAGACTCACTACTGGTTCCCCACCGAATGCCTTCATCAGGGATACCTGTACCACTGATAGGTCCGACCACCACGCCCGACGACATGCCGCAGGTTCTACCGAAGACCCTGACCACGCGTACCACCTCCTCCTGGACGAGGTTGAAGCACATGGCGATCAGGCCCATCCCGGCGAGGATGTAGAGCGAGCAGGCGCACAGACTGAGCTCCTCTAAGGTCGGCGAAGGCGCGTTGCGACCCGTCGGCATCAGGTCGCCGAAGCCGATCGTGCCGAGGCTGGTGAAGCAGAAGTAACCGCCCTCCAGCAGACTCCAGCCCTCCAGACGGTTGAACATTACCGCGCCGCCGCATATGTACACCAGCATTATCACCAGGCACAGGCTGATGGGTATCCGCACCGGATTGCTCTCCAGCATGTACGCCGGCGACGAGGTGGACGAGAGGGACAACGAGCACGGGTGAAAGTGCCGCTTGCCGTTGCCCGTCGTTACATCCTGCCGAAAGGACGGAGAACGTTTCACAACGTCGAACGTTACGCTACTCTTCACCATACCGGAATTGTGATACTGAAATTATCATACTCGTATTGTAATCTTTAGTGACGTCCGCAATGAAATAGGATCGGTTACGCGACAATCCCAGCTAGAATTCCGCTTTTGCGACATTGCGAAATGTTGTCACCATTTTTACCGCAATGTCTTTCCCCGTGTACATACGAGTCGAGCGATCAATAACGTTACCTGAAGCGCGGCTGTCGAGCTGGTGGTGGCGTGCAGGAGACCCTCGCTGCCGCAGTCGAGCAGAATCGCGCTGCTGGTGCCGCGGGTGCCCAGGTCGTCGCACGAGCTCTCCCTGCTCGCCGAGTAATAGTTGCCGGCCTTCGTCTCCACGTGGTTGTCGTAGCGATACGCCTTGCCCATGATGCCGCCCACCGGCGGCGGCGGCGGCGGCGGTTGCTGCTTGCGCGTGCAATTACGCGGTCTGCACACGCGTCCGTACAGACGGCGGAAACTTCGCGCGAGCACGTCGCCCACCGTGCTCAAATAGACCAGCATCAGCGGGATCCCCGCCAGGGCGTAGACGATAGTGATCAGCCGGCCCCAGACTGTGCGCGGTGCCACGTTACCGTATCCTGAAAACAAGCGTAATCTCTGCAATCACGGCGAGAAAAGGCGCGAAGAAAAGGAATAACTCAGCGTAATTGATAATTGATCATTTCCCGCTGCCTGCGGATGGGAAAACTTGCCCTTGTGGGAAAACCAGATTTCTGCGGGAGGTTCCTGCTCGGTCAATTGCTCCCGGTCGTTTCAATCAAGTTTTAACGCAACTCTTCTCAGCCTCGTTAACGGAGACTCTCGTTTCTCGTAGCCGAGTTCGCTCGCCCTGTGTATCACGTATTTTCTCACTCGAAGGCATCCCCGATCGGCTCAATTTTACCTCCTGGCGTTGCTTCCCTTCCGATAATACGCGTCGCTTATTCTTAACTATTATTTCCAGGCGACACGTTCGGGACTCGTAAAAATTGATGAGGAGCGTTCCCAAACGTTTCCTCGAAAGTGGCGAAACCTCGCGAGCTAATAATACCCGACAGACGGCCGGAGCGCGAGGTAACGCACGTTTGTTCGGCGAACGCGACGAAAATCGAAACGATCCGTCTCTCCGTGACGTTGTCTCGCGGTGTTACCGACAGCTTCCACATTAAAAGTGACGTGAGGCGGAAGGTTCTCGCGCGTAGGTCGAGAGAGTCCGGGTGGGACTCGGGGATGAGAATAAGTCGCCGGAGCTTGTTCCACGCTTAATTTCCAAGCGGGATTTCGTCGGACCTTCGATCGGAGCTATTAATGTTACACAAGGTGCGTCCCACGACTCGCGACCTGAATTTTAACGACGGGCTCGCTGATCAATTTCACGTCGAGTTCACCTCGACGTTTCCATCGAGGTATGCGGCGTGTTCCGCGCACGGAAAAAGTGCTCTTTCGCATCGGCGGAATCGGCCAGCACCGTTGTAATTGGAATAAATCTTATTGATTCTACAGCGGCACCGCTCAAGCAAATATTTGAGTAATCGGGACAACGTGTGACGTATTATTTTTAATTATATTTTTCTCTCGTACTGTTGAATCAGGAAGATTTACCGCAGTTACGGCGCTGTTGACCGAATTACTTTAAATGATATTTTCCTTGCGCTGTTGAATCAGGAAGATTCATTACATTTATGGCCGCTGTTGGCCGAATCTATTAATGTAACAGCATTTTACTCCCGTCTACGTACGTTAAATCTTTCATCCTCGTGTCATCCTCGAGAGGTCATTCGTGTTACCTCAGTAAGGGAGACGTTTATTTATCATATTATAATAATATTTTTGAGAAATATATTCTCGCTTATCGTTCCGTGCGATTTCTCCGCCCTTGTTTCAATCAAACGAAATACGTATATCCGAGTCATTCGTGATCTCACCCTTCTATTCACCTTTCTTCGCGGGGGTTAATATCGCAACGTGAGGGGAGTCGCGAACGGAAGGATGGAGAGGGGAAGTCGCGAACGAGGGTACTTTTTAACGGACCTATTGTCGTGATGAGCGTCAGGGAGTACAGCAGGCTGCCGCTGAAGGTCCACCGTCGGCTGTGGAGGCGCCTGTCCGCGTGGTGCTCGCGGGATCGGGGAGGCAACGGCTCGTACGGCGACGAGGCGCGTCTGAGGCCGCGAGCCAGGTTCTCCTGGAACTCGAGGACCTCCCGAGCCGCCAGGCGAGTCCAGTTCTCCTTGTAGAGGACGTTCAGGTCCTCGGTGATGCTCCAGAGTCTCTCGACCGTGCGCGCCCTCAACTCCATGGCGGCGGAGTCGTCCTCGAGATTCGGTATCATGTAGGAACCTCCGTCGGATTTCGAATTGCCGGAGGACGCGACCTCGGTAGGCGAATCCTGCTGGGGGAGGAACGTACCGAACTGATCAACGTTATTTCATCATCGTTACGTTATCAATCACGCGTTGATAACAATAACGTCAATATTAAGGCAGCGGGGAAGATCGCACGCGCGGTCTGATCGCCACGTTGTCACCACCGCCGTTGTGTAATTTGATAATTGCGCCGCAATGGCAGTTAGCGCGTCGGTATCGATTAATCAAATTTGTTTCACCCGTGTTACAAACGCCTCGACATCGATTAGCGCGCTGTTACGATAGGCGGGGGAGGAAGAGAGGCGAGCGGATCTCGTATTCCCACTCCGGTAAATAACGATTGATCGATAGCCGTTTCCGCGACTACGTCCTCGGATTCGGAGGTAGTGAGATTTACACAAAGATCCGCGCGGAGGAAGCTAAGCGGGATCAACGAGTCGGGCGGGGGGAGGGGGGAGCGAACGCCGACGCGTCAACGTCGATTAACGGCGATCTCCCCGATCGGGAGAGAGAGAGAGAGAGAGAGATTTCGTCGGCGTTTATTCAACGATTAACTCGCCCCGGGCGGGATTAGCCGCGAGCGGTGTAGCCTCGTCTCGAGGATCGCCTATAATCGACGTGGCGTCGACGCGCGGCCGACTCACCGATTTCAGGCCTCCCTCGAGGGCCATGAAGGCGAACGCGCCGAGCAGGGTGTAGCCGAGAACGAGCACGCACACCCCGAGCGACGCCAGCAGCCCCGGCGTCTTCGTGGAGGTGGCGGTGCTGCAGCTGCAGCAGCAGCATAGCAACTCGGCGCCGCGCACCGAGCCGGCGATGCCGCTCGCGTTGTTGTTGTTGGTGCCGCTTCTGCCCGGACAGCATCTCGGCGCCCGCTGATAGTAGTCACCGGCGTTCTGCATCCTTCCGCCGTGCTATGATCAAACCGCCGTCGAGCCGTCGTCGTCGCCGTCCCGGCCGCAGCTGCAGGTGCAGCGAGCGACGCCGCAGCTGCAGCCGCAAGCGGTAACGTCCTACCGTCGTCCTACCGTCGTCCTCGTACCTCGGCGGCCGCCACCCTCGCCGTTCGTCCCCTGGGATGCTTGATCTGCGGCACCGATCGATCGCGTGATTTTTCCGCGTTTGAATGAGAGAGAGAGAGAGAGAGAGAGAGAGAGTCATCGTGGGTGTCCGCACGTAGCGATGTATATCCGACGAGTAAAATGAGTAATCGAGATCCAGTGGGTGAAAGGGAATCGAGTGGGATGCGACGCGTCGGATATTAACGTCTGGAAAATGTATGGTTACAAAAAAGTTGCGACACTTCTTTTTTTCCTCTCTCCCGACGAGTTTCGCATCGCGTCTCGCGTCCAATAGCAGGGGAAAAAATGTATTTCCCGAGTACCGCTGAAAGAAAAAAACATTTCCCCGCCGGGCTGCGTTTCGAAACTTGAGGGGAAAAAGTGTCGCGACCTTTTTGCGACCGGCCATACACGTTGATACACTGACATCCGCCGTTATTGGCTCTTTCTTGTTCTCTCGTGTTCGCTGGACCGATAATATTGCTTATGATTATGCTCTTATCTCGCGAATCTATCTTGTTATCTCGTGCGATATTGACGCGACGAATGAAAAAGGAAGTGAAGTAATCAAAGACCGAGAGATAACTCGCTGAGATATCCGCGTTCGAAAGGCGTGTGCTCGCTGGCACACTTGCGCGCGGACATCCGCCGTTACGGCTCTCTCGGCTTCATCTCCCTCCTTTAGTATCAATATTACCCGCGCGTCGAGTTCTTTTTCGGTCACGCGAGAGACACCTCGCGCGTCCACCGTGTCTGCGAGGGTTTGAAATGCAGAAACGATCGTGAGTCGCATCGCACGATGCCGGCTGTCGTCGCCTCAACGACGCTAATTCCAATCCGCGGGGTTCTTGACCCCCACGGCGTCACGGGGAACGAGATAGCGATTAGATGCGTCGGCGTGCGATTAGACGGCTGTGACGCGCGGAGACAAATAGCTCCCACCGAGTAATTGGCTCGTCACGGGGTTAATGACCTTGCCGCAGCGCGGCGTTTTCCTTTCGCGCGAGGACAGCCTCGTGTAACACGCGCGATTAACTCCGGGCGACGAGAACGCCGTCTAAATATTCAACGCCGCGCGGCGATACCGGCAAGTTTGTTATCCCCGGCGTGTCAGCAAACATCGGCAGCTATTTACGACGCACGGGGGCGCGAACGTGTTCCTCGAACGGCCCGGCAAAATAATCCGGGAGCTCCGGATCGTCTCGCCGCGCGACCGTTCCGGTGGGTATCTATTCGCCGACGGAGGACGCGACGTCAGGCATGTGTCCCTTCCTTTCCTTTGATTTCTCGTATTTTTACAAATCCCCGGGGAAGACGAAGGCGATGCTTCCTCGGAATCGCTCCGAGGAATACGTGTATTCCGAGAACGACCGTAGCTCTCGGTCGCGCTCTACTTCGTTCAAACGTAGAACGTGGGAGCCTTTCGTCTCGCGGAAATCGCTCGCGCCGATCGCGCTCCGCGAGCTCGCACCTCCGCCCTCGAAAAGGGACCGACTTTTATTCCCGTCGATATAGGGACACGATGACGCGCACCCCGTTCCGTCACTCAGCCCCCGTTTGATAAAGCGATCGTCACCGTGAGAGAGAGAGAGAGAGAGACTACGCGGTCGGAGCACGTGCAGAAATAGCCAGCGACGATCGACCCTCGGTACATACATTCGCTCGCAGAAACGCGTACATCAGATGCGCGGCGAATAATAGACGTACTCGCGACGCGGAGCGAAGGGAGGCAGACCGAGGTGAGAGAGAGACAGTCGGAGCGCGAATTCACTATCCTAGACCGCGATAGGGTTGCCTGTAAATGACTGAGAAGCCGAGAGCACCAAGTGCGGCAAAATGAAAGAGGAAGAGAGAGAGAGAGAGAGAGTGAGAGATGGGGGGGGAAGAGGGGGACGAGAATGTACTAGCATCCGAGAAGAGGAAAGGGAGAGAAAGAGAGAGAAGCATGGGTCGAGACGAAGAGAATACGTATGTAGATCGACGATGATGAGAGCGAGAAGAGCGCGTGAGTTTCGTAGGTACGCGGGTAGATTTTACGGAGCCGCACAAAGAGATTCTCACGGGGAGGAGGCAGCCGGCAATGAGCTACTTGCTTCGTCTGAAGAGAGTCTCTCTACCACCGCGATGTAGAATGAAAGGCAGATGTTAACGCGCGGTCGGGTGAACGTGGCAAATTATAAGTTTGATTCGTGCATAGCGAAATAGAACGAGCGAGCCGGAAGCACCCCGGACCGCCAGGCGACGTGGAATAATCGGATTTTATATCTGAGGTATTAATTTTTCAAACTGAGATTTAGGTAAGATCCAACAAGGGGAGAAGGTGAAAACAGCAAACCGGCACGCTTTTGTTTGTCTCGCGACGCGATTCAAATGATTGCGGTACGAAAGAAATTGTTTGAACGATTTACCGAGTGAAAAGAGAAGGGAGATCTCTTTTGTTCGAGCGAGATAGAGAAAGAGATGCAAATAGAGAGAGAGAGAGAGAGAGGCATCGCGTATAAATAGAGCGTGCGAGGTGGAGAGTGCGAAGTGCATGGTGTGTGCGTATGACACCGTTAACGATACACGTGTGTGTGCGCGTACGTGCGTGTCGTGTGCACGCGCGCACACACACGACTGTGTGTGTGTGTACATGCGGGTGTACCGTGTGTGACTCGCGAGCGAGAAAGAGATCCGCGACCGCCCCAGTTGAGGCATTGTGCCGCGCGCGGCTACCGGAGATAAGGCATGAAATTAAATTCGACGGAATGTGGGTCGTCGTGCCGGTGCCTCCTTTCGCGCTCTACCCTCTACGTCACGTCCCGGCTGAACACGTCGGAGAGGCATCGGCGTGCCCACCGGCTGCATACGCGCGCACACACACATCTCCCGCGGGGATAACGTACAGCAGGCATCGCGAATGCCTCGGCGAAGTCACTGGATACGTACTTCGCGGAGCAAGCAGGCGTCATTCCTTGGCACACACGCGGCCACATGCATACACCCACACACGTACAGGATGTCTCTCGGACTTAGCGAGCCGCGACTCGACAGGGCCGACACATCCGGTGGTACGTCGGCCGAGCGCGTTCGGGCGTTGTATTTCGTAAGGTCAAGGAGACGAGCCGGCGGGCTCGGAAACTCGAGATGTACGACACGTGTCGAACATCGCGTTACCATTTCGCGTCTATTTCCGCGCGTTATGGAACGCAGCCGAGCGGGAACGACGAGCGTTCGCTCGCTCGTTCCTTCCTTCGCGAAGGATGCACTTCTTGCGGAAGGATGCATTTGGCGAAGCGTTTCTCGCGGCGTTTCTGACATCCTGAGCTGCTCCGCTCGGGTGCGCACGTCGCTTGTCGCCGACGACGACGGTTCGTATACGCGATCTCAATAGCCGACGATCCCCGTGATTTAACGAAGTCGTCGAAACGAAACGACACATCCTCGACGTACTCGCGTTCACGGCCATTGTGACACCGCGTCGCGCCTTATTGCGCCGGGACGATTTCCTCCAGGATTTCCGCTCCGAGTCTCCTCTCGTTTTTGCTCCTCTTCGTTCCTCCCCNCCCCCCCCCTTCTTTTCGAGAACGTAGTCGAGCGCGGGATGCGCCGCTCCGTGCGACCGAGTGTACAAAAGCCACGTTTTTAACATTTTTTCCCCGGGACCACCGTTTAACGCGCGCTGTCGCGAAACACGCGAGCGCTCGTGATTGTTGCGAAAACGGCGGAAACGTGTTTTCGGGAGGGGGGAGGGGGGGAAACGCTGGAACACTCTGTTGCAGATAACTGCACCGCTGTATGATGTACCGTCGGGCTGCCGAAAACGAACAACCCGGAGAAAATACGACTGTGTATTTCACGCTGTGCGTGTACGTGCTGCCCGACTAGACATTTGCCCCACGCTCGGATTAACCTCAACTGGCTGTCGGGTCTATCTAAAGTTATATTACCTGTATTAGAAAGTGACAGTGCGAATTATAATCGGT